GTGAACCCGGGAGGTGGAGCTCTCAGTGAGCCAAAATTGTGCCACTGCACTCCAGTGTGGGCAACAAAGCAAGACGCAGGCAAAGAAAAAAAAAAAAAAAAAAAAGAAAAAAAAATCACTGACAAGACCTTTTATTTTTTTGAGATGGAGTCTCGCTCTGTCTGCACCCCAGACTGTAGTGCAGTGGTGTTACCTCCACTCACTGCAACCTTCATCTCCCAGGTTCAAGTGATTCTCCTGCCTCAGCCTCCGGAGTACCAGGGATTACAAGTGCCCGCCACCACACCCAGCTATCTTTGTAGTTGGCCAGGCTGGTCTCCAACTCCTGACCTCAGGTGATCCGCCCGCCTCGGCCTCCCAAAGTGCTGGGATTACAGGCATGAGCCACCGCGCCCAGCCAAGATCACTTATCTGGAAGGAGCTTCCGTGCTCCTTCTGTCCTCTCCTTCCTGAGTGGAAACAGGCCCTCGGTGCTGACACTAGGACTGGGCAACCATCAGAACGAATGAGGTGGTTTCCTTTAAAGCTAAATACACTAAGAAAGACATCCTCAGTAACTTTTTAATTTTTGGTTTTATAAGAGTTTGTTATATTTTTGGTTTTTATCAATTCTGTTATTCATAGACAAATTAAACTTTAATATTTATATCTACATTTTACTGCTGCAGAGAAAATATATGACTAATAAATAACATTTAAGCCTAAAGGGCTGGGCGCGGTGGCTCACGCCTGTAATCCCAGCACTTTGGGAGGCTGAGGCGGGCTGATCACGAGGTCAGGAGATCGAGACCATCCTGGCTAACACGGTGAAACCCCGTCTCTACTAAAAATACAAAAAATTAGCCAGGTCCAGTGGCGGGCGCCTGTAGTCCCAGCTACTCGGGAGGCTGAGGCAGAAGAATGGCGTGAACCCAGGAGGCAGAGCTTGCAGTGAGCCGAGATCACGCCACTGCACTCCAGCCTGGTGGACAGAGCGAGACTCCGTCTCAAAACAAAAAAACAAAAAAAAATTTAAGCCTAAAGTACGTGACTCGTACAAAGCCTGTGGGGGAACATGAGATGGAAAGACCAGGCCCTGGACGAGGGAGGATCTGGGCCACTCCTGCCTGTGTGTCCACGTGCAGGTGAGTGGACAACTCACGACGTCTGTATTTGGAGTCCAGTAGTACACTGAAAATAATCCCATAAAAGCTTTATTTTAAAACATCAATATTTTCAATAGTGAAAAATTATTTCGGATAACTTAAAAACACAAAAGGGATACAGTTTTTTTTTTCTGTTGAGACGGAGTCTCGCACGGTCGCCTGGGCTGGAGTGCAGTGGCGCGACCTCGTCTCACTGGAATCTCCACCCTCGGGTTCAAGCGATTCTCCTGCTTCAGCCTCCCAAGAAGCTAGAACTACAGGCACCCGCCACTGTGCCCAGCTAATGTTTTGTCTTTTTTTTAGTAGAGACAGTGTTTTACCATGTTGGCCAGGCTGGTCTCGATCTCCTGACCTCGTGATCCGTCCACCATGACCTCCCAAAGTGCTAGGATTACAGGCGTGAGCCACCGCACCCGGCTAATTTTTGAATTTTTAGTAGAGACGGGGTTTCACCATCTTGGTCAGGCTAGTCTCAAACTCCTGACCTTAAGTGATCCACCCACCTCGGCCTCCCAAAGTGCTGGGATTACAGGCGTGAGCCACCGCACCAGGCCGGGATACAGTTTTTCAAACTGCTTCTAAGAGAGGTGGACCCAGAAGGCCTCTGACCTGCACCGGTGGCTCTAGGCAGACCTGGAATGTTTTAGAAATGCACATTCTTGGGCCCCACATCAGATGTGCCTAGTCGGGAACTCTGGGGAACGCAGCACTCTGGCCTCTTAACAAGCCAAGCCTTCTGGGTGATTCTGACACGTATCAAGTCTGGGCATCACCAGGCCTGCGCCCTGTCTTAAGACTGGGAAGAATGACTGAGACCAGAAAGGCAACTGCCTACCCTCCCAGCGTCCGTCTCCTCCCAGCGTCCGTCTCCTCCCAGCGTCCATCTCCTCCCAGCGTCCATCTCCTCCCAGCTACCTGCAGTGCCACCAGGTTATCACCTTAGAGCATGACAGCCACAGTTACCCAGAGAGAAGAGGAGGAGACACAGGGCTTGGGGACGAAGGCATTCAAACAGGTAACTGATGACTGCAAACTTCGCATTCTATCTACAGGCAGCACATGTGGCTGTTACTTAAAAACAAAAAAACCCTCAGGTAGTTAGTCTTCCCCAGAGAAGGTTCCAGACCTTGTTCTTTCATAAATTTGGGGAGAGGCAGGGTGGTGCTGAGTCAGAGCAGGAGGTACCTGCAGGTTTCCAGGTCTCTGTTTCTAACATTCCGTAAGGATTCGAACTCGTGAGAAAGCCTCTGACCTTTACCCTCTTTCAGAGAAAGTGTGTTGTGGGCACAGAGACAGTTTTAGTTGGTAGCTTTGGATGTGCCTGCTTGAGAGCCTGCAAGCAGCAGGATCAGCCAGCACAGCCGCCGACAGCCCGCGTGTACCCACCCCAGAGCAGCGGGAGCCCACACCTGGGCCAGGCCCCAACGCCAGAGTTGACTCGGCAGCTGGCAGGGACTCCCGCCCTTTCCACACTCCGCAGTGCAGGGCGAAGGCAGATCGCCTGGTGTCGGCGTGGACGTTCCGGTGTCTCTACTTTCAGTTTTCTGTGCACGGGCCTCCGATGGACTTTCAGAGCAAAGCGCACAGAAAAGCAGCCCTTCTCCCACCCTCAGCAACACGCACCGCCGCAGGACGCGCAAGGCCAAGTGAAAAGACAGGTGGCGGTTCCACACAGGAGGTTGGCGGGCCACAGCCTTCCACCATTTCAGGCTGCTTCCAGGCCACACCCAGGAAATCTACAAAAGGCAAGAATATTTTTCTCTCTCAAGGTATTAGAAACCCTCATATCTTTTCAGACAGGTCCTCCAACGGGAATCCCATGACAGCCGACTCCATGACCACTTCCTATAGCATTACTAGATTTCCTGCAGCTTCGAAATGCAAACATTTCCTCAGACAAAAGTTAAAATCGTTACAGTCAGAACCAAAACCCCGAGTGAGAAGGGTCTCTGCTCCCCAGTACCCACACCCGCGGGAGCCACAGACCGGCATGTCTTACCATTGTTCACCTGGCCGTGGACCGCAGTGGGGACTGATGCCACATGAGTGCCGTTCTGTGTGACAGTTTTTATTGGTAGCTGGTGTTGACCTAGAGGTGCCTGTTGTACTATGGTCACCGTCTGGACCGGGGTGGTCTGTGCCGTCTGAATGATCCGGCTAGCAGTGCCGAGCGTGGCGTGGCCAATGGCGGGGACAGGTTCTACTTTCACTGAAATTAAAAGGAAAGAAACGACACTAATATTACTGGAAAGCAAATAAAAATCTTGCCAGTTTAAAACATAATAGTCAGATGGCTACCACACCTGCTAGAAAATGTCTCTAAAACAAATGGCAAATTAGAAAAGGATGAGCAGGCCGGGCGCGGTGGCTCAAGCCTGTAATCCCAGCACTTTGGGAGGCCGAGATGGGCAGATCACGAGGTCAGGAGACCGAGACCATCCTGGCTAACACGGTGAAACCCCGTCTCTACTAAAAAACACACAAAAAAATAGCCGGGCGAGGTGGCGGGCGCCTGTCGTCCTAGCTACCTGGGAGGCTAAGGCAGGAGAATGGCGTAAACCTGGGAGGCGGAGCTTGCAGTGAGCCGAGATCACGCCACTGCACTCCAGCCTGGGCGACAGAGCGAGACTTGTCTCAAAAAAAAAAAAAAAAGAAAAGAAAGGAAAAGAAAAGGATGAGCAAATCTTTGTTTTTTGTTTTGAGATGGGAGTTTCACTCTCGTTACCCAGGCTGGATGGAGTCCAACGGCGCAATCTCAGCTCACTGCAACCTCCACCTCCTGGGTTCAAGTGATTCTCCTGCCTCAGCCTCCCGAGTAGCTTGGATTACAGGCATGCACCACCACACCCAGCTAATTTTGTATTTTTAGTAGAGACGGGGTTTCTCCATGTTGGTCAGGCTGGTCTTGAACTCCCGACCTCAGGCGATCCGCCTGCCTCAGTCTCCCAAAGTGCTGGGATTACAGGCGTTGAGCCACCGCACCCAGCCAAGGATGAGCAAACCTTACGGACGTCCAAGAGTGTGAGGCTGATGGGGCGGCCTCTCCTCCTTTCCCCCAGTGCCCACCTTTGACTTCCCTGTGATCTCCGTTCTCCTGGGGCTCTGCCTTAGGAGGGGCCAGCACGGCTGCCGGGGTGACCACAGCTTGTCCAGAGACAGTGTACGTGTTCGCTGGGGCCAGTCCGGCCACACTGGTGACCGATACCGCTGGGATCTGGTGGACGACGTGAACCGTCTGCACGACGGGTGGCTGGGAGGTCGAGGTGGTCACTGGGGTGGCCACAGTGTAGGTAACAGGCTTGATGGCCTGTGGTAGCTGCCGCTGGACGGTGATTAAGACCGGCTGACTGGACAGAGGTGACCCTGGTGAAAGACACAACAGGACCGACACTTACAGATACTTCTACAAACAAAGGTTCCCACACTCAGCACCGACAGCAACATACAAACTTTAAAATACAGGATGTGGCCCTATTTCACCTCACAATAGTAAAGTTACTAAGAATGAGGGAGATGTAGTATTTTAATAGGGGTATTTAATTCCTATCTCTAACTGCTAAAAATGCAATTTTAGTTCTATTTAGATATCTGGTAATACCTCTTCCCACAGTTCTTTCCTTATGAAAAAGAAAATGTCAATACTCAATATAAGAGGAAACTGGGCTGGGCACGGTGGCTCATGCCTGTAATCCCAGCACTTTGGGAGGCTGAGGTGGGAGGAGTTTGAGACCCGCCTGGGCACAGGGAGACGCTGTCTCTACAACAAATATTAACTGGGCATGTTAGTGTGTGTCTGCAGCGCCAGTTATTTGGGAGGCTGAGGAGGGAGGGTTGCTTGAGCCTGGAAGGTGGAGACTGCAGTGAGCCAAGAATACGCCGCTGTACTCCAGCATGAGTGACAGAGCAAGACCTTGTCTCAAGACAAACAAACAAAATTAAAAAGAAGAAGAAGAAATTGCCCCTGTAGGCCAGAAAGACGAGGGCCACACTCACCTAGGATCAACATCTTCCTCCTGTGAGGGGAAGCAGAAAGTTCAAAAACAGAGTGGGGCTGTCACAGAGCCTCTGGCACCCAGCCTCTGCCCTTTGTGGTTTGGGGGCTTAGAGCAGAGAGAGAGAGACATGGCTGTCAGGGGCCACTGCCAGTGGGCAGGGGAAGGCTGTTCTCTGGCCCAGGAGGGCCAGTAATCCCAACTGATCCAATTCACATTTCTGTCAACTGTAACAGACTCAGTTTGGACACATTTCCACACTATGTTTGTTTAATTCCCCAGGGCACACAATTTTACTCCACATTATGACTTTCTAAGTAAACTGCAAACTGTTTTACCTGTTCCTTAAAATGGACACGTTAGGCTGGGTGCAGTGGCTCACGCCTGTACACCCAGCACTTTGGGAGGCCAAGGTGGGCGGATCACGAGGTCACCAGGTCAAGAGATCGAGACCATCATGGCCAACATGGTGAAACCCTGTCTCTACTGAAAATACGAAAATTAGCTGGGCGCGGTGGTGCATGCCTGTAGTCCCAGCTACTTGTGAGGCTGAGGCAAGAGAATTCCTTGAACCTGGGAGGCAGAGGCTGCAATGAGCCAAGATCGTGCCACTGCACTCCAGCCTGGCCACAAAGTGAGACTCCTCCGTCTCAAAAAAAAAAAAAAAAACTGACATGTTTTTGCTTCCAGTGTCTAGTTTGTCTACTTTATGTTTTTTTTTGGGGGGGGGGGGACGGGGGGTGTTTCATGGATTTTTGAATGACAAACTAAGAAACAGGTTAATTCTAAGTTCTTTCAGGCATCTACTCAGTATCGTTTAAAGAACGCTCATTCATTTTTAAAAAACACTTCCAGTGCTACCAGTTTTCCAGGGCCTATGAAATCACACTCAGGTACTAGTATAAGGTACAGAGGGACAGGGAGGCCTCCAGTCCAGCTATTTCTTCTCTGTGGAGTCCAGGCATCCGCGTCTGGCTCACACTGTCTGGCCTTCGCTTCCTCTCCCACTGTCTCACCTGGTGCGCTCTGGGCAAAGCGGGCTTCCTGGATGACAGCGAGTTTGGGCTGTGCGGCGCCAGGCTCAGGCTCCAGGGGGGCCGGCGAACCTTCCCTCGACAGGCTCTCAGGGGTCTGGGCGCCACTAGAGTGAGCAGACAGCACTCCAGCGTGATTGGGAGAGGCTGGGGCACTCCTGTGTCACCGAGAAGAACACATTGCATGTTTACACACTCAGAAAGCACTTTGCAAAGGGGGTGTCATCTGTCTCCTGACAACCAACTACTGTTGTGTAAGTTCTACTTCTCTGTACGCCTGTGAACTGAGCAGGACAGTCGGGGAGACAGCCTCAGCCTGTGTGTGACAGGGCCATCACAGGCCCCTTGCCCACATACGCAGCACGGCTACGGGGCAGGGCTGGCTGCCCTCTTTAAACAGCTCCTGTGCACAGACATAGGAGCCAGCAGTGGGCAAGTCAGTGGGCACTTAAGACTGACATTATGCTCATTTATTTTTCTGGTTAAAAACAGTATTCATGAAGCTAAAATTAAGCATTTAAACTCAGGCAAATTAACACTGTAAGTCAACACGAGTTTAAGCAGCTGAAAAGTAGTGCGTCTGTTTTTGTTTTGAGACAAAGTTTCACTCTTTTGCCCAGGCTAGACTGAAGTGGCGCGACCTCGGCTCACTGCAATCTCCGCCTCCCGGGTTCAAGCAATTCTCCTGCCTCAGCCTCCCGAGTAGCTGGGATTACAGGCGCCCGCCATCACGCCCGGCTATTGTTTTTGTGGTTTTAGTAGAGACGGGGTTTGACCATATTGGCCGGACTGATCTCCAACTCCTGACCTCAGGTGATCCACCCGCCTCGGCTTCCCAAAGTGCTGGGATTACAGGCGTGCGCCACCGCGCCCGGCCTAAAAAGTAGTTTTAAAGAACTTTTCCTGTGCCAAAGGAAAGGAAAAATGTCACCATGGCACTGGCGTGAACAATATGCCACGAGCCCCACAAAGCAGCAGTCACTGAGGGGAGTGCAGTTTAAACTTCGCAAACGGTCTCAAATGTTTCAACCACTAGAACCACAAAATGCCCGGGCAGCCACTCAACACTTCTGCTCAAATCCCCATCCCAACATTTAATCATAATGCATTTGGTAGTTCCTTCATTTTCAAAAGGAAATTTTCCCAATACATTGAAGGTGAGTTTAGTGAGCACGAAGTGAGGCCTTTTGTTCCTCTTTCTCCTTACCTAGAAGAGAGCGGTCCCAGAGGGGTTCTAAAGCAGGGCACGCCCCTGGGCCGTCGTTTCCTAAAAGCCTGTTCTATTAATTTGCTCTCCGAGGCTGGGTCTATCCTCCAGAACGAGCCTTTGCCTGGTTCTTCCTGGGAACGTGGCACTTTGATGAAATAACGGTTCAGAGAGAGATTGTGGCGAATGGAATTCTATGAAACATAAAAAAATACATAGAATTCGTATATTTCTTTGCCGAGAAATGAAAACATGTCCTAGTTTTAGTGCCCCCCAAAGCAGAAACCTCGACGTGGGGCGCTGGCAGCCTGCAGAGTGAACTGCTTCTCTTTGGCGTCACACAGGTAATGTACTGACAGCTCACAAGGTCTGAGGGAGGCCCGTCCTGCACGGGAGTGAAAACCCAGACGTCACGCTTACAAACGACAACAGAGAGTGACGTTTACGGGCTGTGCTGTGTGGAAGGAGCAGCCCTCCCCGCTTGGTAAGCAACTCTCAAGGGAAGTAGCAGCCTGCGGTTTGAGTCCTTCACCCCAAGGCTGCTGCGGGCTTCCAAAGAGGAAAGGACACTGCATTCTGTGGTAGAACAGGCCCGGGAGGCAGCGGGGGGAGCTGGGGAACAGGAGGGATGGGCAATCCACACAGCGCTTGCGCACAGAGGCCCTTTCTGACTCCATCTCCTTTTAAGGTGGGAAACCCAGGACTGCGACTGTCAGCACAGAGCATTCCAGGTGGAGTCAACGACTTACAGCTGCCAACCTCTCCCTGCTTGGAGACACACAGAGCTGATGTGAGCCATTCTGTTAAAATACTTTTTCACACAGAATTAGCTTACAGAATCTGTCATGCCATTAAAATTAAATTAATCCAGTATAAAGTATTTGGCGAACCAGCAAAAAAGAAAAATGAGCAAGAGGCTGAAAATCAGGACGGACACCATCTTCCAGTAAGAGAGGACTTGGCAAAGTGCCTCTGTTTTTTATTTGATCCTTGAAATAATTTCATAAGATACACAGGAAAAATTTCCCTCCCAGCTTCTCGTCAGTGCATCATTCTTTCTATTAGAAAAAGCCAGACGGGCGCGGTGGCTCACTTGAGGTCAGGAGTTGGAGACCAGCCTGGCCAACATGGTGAAACCCCGTCTCTACTAAACACACAGAAATCGGCCGAGCACAGTGGCTCGCACCTGTCATCCCAGCTCCTCAGGATGCTGAAGCTGAAGAATCGCTTGAACCTGGGAGGAAGAGGTGGCAGCGAGCCCAGATCATGCCACTGCACTTCATCCTGGGCAAGACAAGCAAGACTCCACCTCAAAAAAAAGCCCAGTGAAGGGTTTACAGACAACCTGAAGAAAGCCCCCGCTGTGACCTGATTCAGGCACCAACACAGCCAAAGCCGGACAAAAGTCATGGGTTCACAGAAACATTCCATTAATTTACATTAATGTGTAGATTTAAAATTAAGCTATTAAAGTGTTAAAACGGTGATCACTCAAAACACAATCTGAACCTACCCAAAAAGTCATTTCTAAATTTCCCAATTAATCTTATTAGAATCACAAGCCTCGGAAATCGTCAAAGGTGACTAAGAAATCCAACATATAAAATAACACTTTACAACCAATCTCAGTGGCTGTTCAAGTGCCATGCTAACGCCTCTGGGCCCTGTGGACGGATGGGAGCTACTTGGTGGGCAACATGAAGAGGGGGCGAGGCTGTGTGTGGGATTTTGGGAAACTGTTTACAGGTGCAGGCGTCACATGAGATTTCCAATATTCTAATAACCACAGATACTTGCTATGATGTTTTATTTCGCTTTAGCTGACACCCAGTCTTTCTATCAATTCCTCCAGAAAATCAAACATGACTGTTACTGGACAGAGAAGGCAAAGCTTTGCCAACTGCTCTCAGAATTTTAAGTGTGAAGAAGAAGGTAGATTCTGAGACTGTGACCAATTTTAAGTGTGAAGTAGAAGGTGGATTCTAAGACTGTGACTGAAGAAAAGCAAACCCAGACGATGGTAATATAAAACCCTCAAGCAGTGCAAACGGCAATCCCAGCCACTGCCTGAGAAGGTCGACAGTTGCCCTCTCGGCTGTTCTGCCAGGACCAGTCCTCCTAAGCAGGAACTCAGAAAGAACTGCCCCACACGGCGTCCGACGCTGGAGAGCAGAAAGCAGTCAACCATCCCTGGAGTGAAGACTGTGGCTGTACTGACTGACACAGAGTCATTTAATTTGCATGCTGCTAGGAGGAAAGAAGGTCAGTACAGTGGGAATCTGGAAGCAGAAAAGGTGACTTCGGGGCCAGACTCTAGCCTTGTGAGCAGAAGAACGCGACACGGGCCAGAAGCCCTGCTCCTGCATCACCACCACCATCACTTACGAGACGCAAAGTCGGTCTGTGGAATCGGGGAGCTGCTACTTTCTGTCCTGAAAACACACAAGAACACAGTCTGCATCATCAGAATAGATTCTAACCTATTTTATTCTCCAATCCATCTCCCTAACAACAACTTCAAGGGCAAATAAGGAAAGATTACTTGCAATTTGCCAGCCAACAAGACTCTAGAAAATATGGGGAAGTAATGAGACATTTAATGTAGACACAAAGAGAATAAATTAACTATGTTTCTAAGGTAATTTAAGGCCGTTGTAATTTGATCAAACCCAGGATGGATGTACCTTCATTCTGTTGCTACACGTACTAAAACCACATTGACTGGACTCTAATGATTCAGAAATTATAAAGCTTTCAGAGAAAACGTGGGCTGTTATTCTTTAACGCTAAACATGAAGAAAAGGATGTGCAATTCTGAGCAAATTATCTTTCTCCCAAAGGCTTTCCAAATTGAGCATCTACTGACAATCAGCCCTCCGTGAGCACCAGCTCCCTCCCTTCCGGGGCTCTCCTCTGTGCCTTCCTGGTCAGCCTTCCTAAGCAGACCTCAAGTTTCTCAAGGACTGTTCGTCTATCTAACACCCCCCAGCCCTGAGTGCCCTCCAGTGTGCATTCTGCACAGTAAGGACGTGTGCAGAAACTGAGGAGAAGGAACAGGCCACGTTCCTTTCAGAGGAGGGGTCTAATGTCCAGGAATGCCTCCAAAAGAGCAGGGGTGAGGGTGAGTCCAGAGCACAGTCCTTCCTTTAAAAGAGATCAAGGGATGGGCACAGTGGCACATACCTATAATCCCAGCACTTTGAGAGGCCGAGGTGGGTGGATCCCCTGAGGTCAGGAGTTCAAGCCCAGCCTGGCCAACATGGCAAAATCCCACCTCTAGTAAAAAACACAAAAATTAGCTGGGCGTGGTGGCGCACACCTGTAGTCCCAGCTACTCAGGAGGCTGAGGATGGAGAATCACTTGAACCCAGGAGGCAAAGGTTGCAGTGAGCTGAGATTACGCCACTGCACTCCAGCCTGGGCGACAGAGTAAGACTCTGTCCCAAAAAAAATAAAAATAAAATAAAATAAAAATAAAAGGAACCAGCTCTAGTCCCTTTGGAGGCTGAGAGCCCCGTCTTTTCAAACTTTTCACAGTCACAACAATTATCTCAATTCCGGGTTAGGTAAAATTATAAAACCATAAAAAATCATTTTGGAGTCACCGAGGCCCGGATCCGTGGTGTTGGCGGTGTGCAGAGACCGGGCCAGCACGTGGGCACAGCCGGGTACCCAGGGCTGGGCCTGGCGCACAGGTGCTGACCTGACTGGGCAGTGAGCAGGCTGCAGCCTTGGTTGCGAGGCCTTAACCAGGTCGCCTGCCACGCCCTGCATGCGGGTTGCGCCGCAGGCAGGGCAGGAGTCTATAGGGGCAGCAGTGATGGACGCCTTAGAAGAAGAGAGCTTTGTGCTGTCTTTCTCTTCCGCCTCTGATGAATCTGATATTGTGGTGGGATATTTAGATGACATTATCATGGATGACGAGTTTCAGTTATTACAGAGTAATTTCACCAACAGGTATGACCTGGAGTTTGAAGACATGGAAGAGAATAAACTCACCTACACATCTATTTTTAATGAATACATTTCTTTTTCTTTTTTTTGAGACGGAGTTTCACTTTTGTTGCCTAGGCTGGAGTGCAATGACACGATCTCAGCTCACTGCAACCTCCGCCATGCGGGTTCAAGCGATTCTCCTGCTTCAGCCTCCCGAGTAGCTGGGATTACAGGTGTCCACCACCACACCCAGCTAATACTGTATTTTTAGTAGAGACATGGTTTCTCCACATTGGTCATCTGGTCTCGAACCTCCAACCACAGGTGATCCACCGGCCACAGCCTCCCGAAGTGCTGGGATTACAGGCATGAACCACCGTGCCTGGCCTGAATACATTTTTTGGGTAGAAAACTGTATTGAAGAACAGCTGCTGCAGCGGATTCCTGGACTCAACACAGCAGCTTTCACCATCACATCACAGCACCATAAAAATGAAGCAGCGGGTGACGCACTGGACATGCTGCTGCCTTCACAGATTCTTTGGACTACAGAGCAGAAAAAGAAGACCGAGGACCGAGGACCAGACTGAAGCAGTCGCTTGGTGGTGACTTCGCTGTGTCAATCATCTGTGCCAGCTTCCCAGAACAATGTGCGGCACTGGGTCCTCCCGCCAGCCAAAGAACTGGGAACATTCTGGATGTCACCGGCCCAAGAGGTTCAGCTCATGATGACAGAATACATCTTGGAAAAAGACTGACTCTATTTTGTAACTCTTCATTTATGTTAAGTATTGACAGGTCAAAACCAAAATGACCTAACCCTTCTAGACCTATTTCTCCCGAAACACCTTCTTGTATCCATTAACCGTAGTACTCCTCCCCCCGCAAGTAGACACTTCGCTCAGGAGCTTCTGAGTCAGACGCCTCTGGAGCGAGCCCATGTCAAGCACTCCATCTGGGGGGCCCTTCCCCAGCACACACGCTGGTGTGTACGTGCGGACGAACCCACGGCCACCACCTGAGCACACTGCTGGTGTGTACGTGTGGACGAATCCGCCTCCACCCTCTGTCCCAGCAGGCTCTGCGTGCATCTTTACACATTTGCATCTCTTTCTCACATGGATCAGTTTCAGTACTTCACCCTCAATGGGGTTCCTGATGTCTATCTAGGGTGTTACTCAAGCCCAGCTTGAGATTTTGGAATCTCCTGTGATCACAGCTTGTCTCGGCTGCAGGAATCAACAGAAAGAGACGTCCTCTACATAAAAGCTCCACGTGAAAAGCCACCCCTAGTCTTAATATTTGCAGTCCTTGTGTCACTTCATTCTGGTCCAGATGTAGTCCCACTGTTTCTAGAAGTCTCTTTGAAGCATTATTTTATTTATTTATTTTTTTTGAGACGGAGTCTCGCTTTGTCGCCCAGGCTGGAGTGCAGTGGCGTGATCTCGGCTCACTGCAAGCTCCGCCTCCTGGGTTCACGCCATTCTCCTGCCTCAGCCTCCAGAGTAGCCGGGACTACAGGCGCCTGCCACCACACCTGGCTAATTTTTTGTATTTTTAGTAGAGACGGGGTTTCACTGTATTAGCCAGGATGGTCTTGATCTCCTGACCTCGTGATCCGCCCACCTCAGCCTCCCAAAGTGCTGGGATTACAGGGTGAGCCACTGCGCCCTGCCAAAGCATTATTTTAAAAATATGTGTATTTATAAATGAATACTCAGGCTAACCTAGTGGATGTGATCTTGAGACTTCCATGATTATCCACTTAAAGATCAAAGTATTATATGCCGTGTGCGTTTTAGGTGTTAGTGCTGTGAAGGCAAAAATGCTTTCTACATTGCCATTCGTTCCTACTTGACTGGGCGCCTATGCATGTATGTGTGCACTAGAAATAGAGTAAAACATATTCTTACAGCATGTTACTGTGTTTGCGTGTTTGCTGAAGATCTTTTCTGTATAAACCAGTTTGTTAGGCTCTCTGGGTTAGGGACTCTGCAGTTTCTTCCTTTCCTACCGAGATGCTTGTTCCACTGGTCCAGCCCAGCCGGAGGAGCAGCCCAGTGGGAGCAGCAGCCCAGCGGGAGGAGCAGGCAGGGCACAGCTTTCCTGGCTGTTTGCTGCTCTGCTTTAGTACAATGTGTGGTAGATTACTTATCAGAAAACACGTACATCATCTCTAGAAACAAGAAAAAACATAGTTCAATGCCCAGTGTGTCCCTTTGATTTTTTTAAATAGTAAAAATAAGACTCTGTATTGACTTTTCACTTGGCCATCCTGGTTTTAAAGGACAAGCTATAAGCTCCGTGTGTTTCTGTACTGATGTGTCACTTATTAAATACTTTTCTACCATGAAAAAAACAAACCATAGCAGGTAAATGCAAACAAAGGAAAGACATACGGCATCTTTTCAAACAGGATTCCTCCGACCGTCTTATCTCACCCCCGCACGTCCTCCGACCGTCTAATCTCACCCCCGCACGTCCTCCGACCGTCTCATCTCACCCCCGCATGTCCTCCGACCGTCTCATTGCACCCTCAGATGTCCTCAGACCGTCTCATTTCACCCTCGGATATCCTCTGAGGATTGACCAAAAAGCCACACCATTGGTAGACAATGCAAAACACCTCGCTTTTGTTTTAAGCCAAGAGGGACAAGGTCAGAATAAGGTCTGACGCACTGGGAAGGGCAGCTCAGAGAATCTCATGGCAGAGGAACAGCCCGTGAGGGTCAGTATTCCAACAGCCAAGGGTACAGCTGAGGACAGAAAGAAATTAAGAGTACACTGGCCGGGCGTGGTGGCTCATGCCTGTAATCCCAACACTTTGGGAGACCGAGGCAGGCAGATTACCTGAGGTCAGGAGTTCAAGACCAGCCTGACCAACATGGAGAAACCCTGTCTCTACTAAAAACACAAAAGTAGCTTGGTGTGGTGGCTCATGCCTGTAATCCCATCTACTCATGAGGCTGAGGCAGGAGAATCGCTTGAACCTGGGAGGTGGAGGTTGCAGTGAGCCGAGATCGCACCACTGCACTCCAGCCAGGGCAACAAGAGCAAAACTCTGTCTCAGAAAAAAAAGAGAGAGATAGTAGGTGTCCATGAAGTAAGGGGAATCTGGAGAAACTCATCCCTCTCCTGCTAAATTAGCTGGAGCCGCGAGGTGTGAAATGACACAGGAGCGGCCTTACTGGGGCAAGAGATGCAGCTGTAGACTTACAGACCTTGATCTAGACAGGAAAGAAAATGTTTCAACAGAAACAAGTTTAATAGCAGTTCAGCAGAGAGGGGTGCCTGATGTGTGCTAGTCTGTCATTCCCTGCCTACGTGGGCTGTGCAGGCACCTGCAACAGACGACAGAAAGCAGTGCATGCATGAGGGGTCGGTCCCATGGGGTCCTCGCCACTTCGCGAATGTGGTCCAGAAGAGCCTTGCTCCAAGGGCTCTGCTCCCCAAAAGGCATGTCCTGACTTCCTGACTAGGGCACCCCCAAAAGTGAGGCCGGGCCTTTATCCATCCACCCTCTTTAGCAAGAAAGCCTTGTCCTATTCATAGGTAGTTCTCAAATAAACAGATGTTAGAAAAAAACACACGGAAATACCACTTAAGAGAAACAGATTAAAGTCTAATAAAGCTTCTTAGAAACACATACTCACAAAGCCCCAGGTAACTGGTACTTCAAACCATCAGAATAAGCTGCACTTAAACTCTGAGGGATCCTCACACACTCCCCCAGAGCCAGCTGGACTCCATGTGGAGTTTCTCTCCTTGACGAAGCCATAAAGCCATGGCCACTGGAACATGGGTAGAAGTTATCGTCTGGTTTTGTGTGTGTTAGTATGTATACGTGTGTGTGTGTACACATATAGATAGTCTGAAGCACAGCCTCACTTTTATAAAAAGATTAAAATAGAGTAAATACGGCCAGAATTTAGCATGCAATGTGTTAAGAGACCCTGACATGGCTGGATATGAACAACTCTCCAAATCCGGCATTTTCCTAATGGTCAATTAAGAGATGCCCCCTTGCTGTAAACAGGAAAGTGGGCAGGGCCGGGCACAGACACTCCAGGCATGGGGTGCACCAAGTGGGTCAGAGGGGAGGCTGGGTCTCATTCTGTACCTTCCATAATTAAAGACCCCCAAGCCCCTCCACAAGGGAAATATGGAAGATGTGGCTGGGTAGGCTTTCTTTTCTTTTTACGATAGAGCCGCTGCTTCCTGGGCTCAGGTGATTCTCCCACCTGGGCCTCCGGAGTAGCTGGGACTACAGGTGTGACCCAACACACTCAGCTAATTTTTATTTTTTTTTTGTAGAGACAGAGTCTCGCCATGTTGCCCAGGCTGCGCTCGAAATCCTAGAGTCACGTGATCTACCTGCCTCAGCTCCCAAAGTGCTGGGATCACAGGCATGAGTTACTATGCCCGGCTGGTGGGCTATTTTTCAATATAACATGTTTATACATCTGCGGTTAAAAGAGAAAAGGTTTTTCCCTTCAATAAACAGAAAACAGGTGCCCCTGCACCACCCTCATCACTAAGCCATGCAGTTTAGACGTTTTTTTAAGGATCATTTAATCATTACATGAAAGCCTCAAAGAAAATTCTATAGATATTCCTGGTTACTTAACGAATTAAAAAACTATAAGCATGCATACATTTCTTCTCTTGCTATGTTTTTAATATGCTATATTTCAAACCTACCCACTGCCAAATTATCTCAAATAGCAAGATTCTCGTATACATCCAGTAAACAGCCAACACAACACAGATAACACAGAAAGAGAAAAAACCTACATAGTCTAAAGGGTTAAAATTATTGGTGTGTGAGCTGACCAAAGGGAACATTTTGCAGATTTCAAAATGTTTTTTGGAGGCAGCCCTGGGGTTCCACGAGCAGGTGGGCTCCCCGGCTGAGACAGGGCACACCACGTTCATCTGTTTTATATTCCGACCAACTGGTTAAGATGTCTTCTACGTGTTCCTTGGTAAAACATGGTTTGAAAACTGTTTCTGCAAACTTCAAAACTTCTGTCCATTAGCAGGACTAGATGAGGAAGACAGGAGAATGCCAAAGGGAAGGATAGGCTGGGTTTCAAATTTTTCCTACATTTCAAATATGAACTGCACTGGTCAAAGGGAAATATCTCAGACAATCCACACTTCACAAATCCTGTGCGGACGCATGAATTTCCACAACAGTAAAGCACGCAGGCCTAGATGCTCTTCCAGAACCATGTTTCCTTCTGCTCCACGCGAGGAAGGTGAGGCAGAGCATGGCAGCACCGGCCCCAACTCCTCTTCCTCTCAGCACAGGAGGCTCCAACCACGGCCCCCGCACCGCCGCCCCCCCAACCTTCTACCTTCCTAACTTGTGCCTGTGTTAAGTACAGCAGCCACTCAACTTTCTTCTCAGTATCAATCGGCCTCTATTTAACAACAAACTGAAAGGCATTTACCTGCCAGCCCTTGTCCGCAGTCCTATAGTAGGGATAATTTTTAGTGATGTGCGTATAAATTCCGTTCAGGGTGAGCTGTTTGTCCGGAGCCATTGTAATTGCTTGTACTATTAGTTGTGCATAGGAGTAAGGTGGCTTTGAATCATCCTGTATTTAAAAAAACAAACAAAAAAGAATATTGAAGTTAACACATTTTGTATTAAATTTACTAGATTTAAAGATTCTCAGTGCTTTTAAGTGTTCCTCTGATACCTCATCTTTCTTTTTTTTGAGATGGAGTCTCGCTCTGTCGCTCAGGCTGGAGTGCAGCCGCGCAATCTCGGCTCACTGCAACCTCCACCTACCGGGTTCAAGCGATTCTCCTGCCTCAGCCTCCTGAGTAGCTGGGACTACAGGCGCCCGCCACCACGCCCGGCTAATTTTTGTGGTTTTAGTAGAGAAGGAGTTTCACCATGTTGGCCAGACTGGTCCCAAACTCCTGACCGCAGGTGATCCGTCTGCCTTGGCCTCCCAAAGTGACGGGATTACAGGCGTGAGCCACCGCACCCAGCCTGATACTTCATTGTTCTTACTATAAAAGTAACATAATTTGAAAACATGGAGGAAGCAAATGGAAAACTATAGACTATAAAGAATATTAAAAATTACATAAGTAAAAACACAAATGTCAAAAATGAAGAAATAAAGGCTGTTTGACCGCAGTGGAGTCCAAGGCAAAGCACCTCAACCAAGACCAGATCCTGTTGGCCACCACAGGGGTCCAGGCGAGGGGTGGGGAAGGTTGGCTGAGGGCTCAGAGCCGCCCTTGGACTCACCAAATACCCATCCACAAGGAGCCCCCGCCGCCCACGAGGAGCAGCCCCCTGGCCCACAAAGAGCCCCATGGAGACTCCGCCTTGGGGTCGGAGACATCCTGGCTGCTGTGTGCCCTGCTGACAGGCTGGCATTCCTGGTCCTGGCCCTTTCAAGGCCATTGGTGGTTCCTCGTCATAGCGACAACCTGAAACCCACAGGTATCGGCACAAGCCCACTGGGAAAGGGAACCACCCCTGGTTGTAAACTTCTAGACAACACACTTGTCAACATGGATGAAAAGCAACAGATGATGTTGGATGAAAAAAGGCATTTGCAAAACAATACATTCACGATGACACTATTTACATGAAGTTGCACAATTACAGATACTGTTCGAGGATAACACAAATGGAATGGGAAACAGGCAGGCCGACAGACAGGAGGCAAGGACATCGGACGCGCCCACATGGGATTCCACAGCACAGGTTGCGTTCAGCGCTAACAGCTCAGCGTGGACAAAGGGACATTTGTCTTTTCTTTCTTTCTTTCTTTTTTGGGGACAGGGTCTCACTCTGTTGCCCAGGCCGGAGTGCAGTGGTGTGATCTTGGTTCACTGAAGCCTGAACTCCCAGGGCTCAGGTGATCCTTCCACCTCAGCCTCCTCAGTAGCTGGGACCCCAAGCGCATGCCACTAGGCCCGGCTAATTTTCGTAGAGACAGGGTCTTGCTTTTTTGTCCAGTCTGATCTCAAACTCCTGAGCTCAAGTGATCCACCCACGTTGGCCTCCCAAAGTCAACTTTTTTTTTTTTTTTTTTTT